TCCGGGGACCCCGTGCTCCTCCGTGGCGCCCGGGAACGAGGCCAGCTCCGCTTCAGCTCCCCTCTCTGCTTGCCTCCTGCCTGGCTCGCCGCCTGGGGAAGGGCCTCGCTTGCTCTGGGTGCCCCGCCTCCCCGCCCCTCCCCCACCCACCTCCACCCACCCACCCCTCCCACCCCCACCCACCCCTATTCACCTCCCTGTTCATTTCTGTTTCCAGTGCAATGTGCCACCCCAAGCCCTCCCACCTCCCCTGCTTCCCCGACTCCACCAGCCAACCCCCTATCGTCTGAATCCCCACGGGGCACCGACAGCAGCCATACCATGCGGGTCTGAGCTCTGACGTAAGAACTTTTCTTCTGTATTTCATCCCACCGCGGGGAGTGGGTCCCCCGCCCCCCACCCCCGTGAGCCATCCACACCCCTCATCCCAACCTCGCTTCTCCCGCACCCCCCGCGCCCCCCCCCCCCACCCCCGCCGCTCCCTCCCCTCCCTCCACCTGCTTGAGCCCTCCGGCGTCGCGTGCAGTGCTGGGCTGGCGCCGGCTGGCAGGGCCGCTGCTTGGTACCGCAGTGCCCGCGGGCTTTGCTTCTCCAGAAGCAGACAGGGACAGAGCTGAGGCCCCCGCTGTCCCTCTGTCGGCCAACAAGCCTTCTACCTGTTGAGATGCACAGCGGTCCTGCCTCGGAAGCCCCCAGGTCACCCCCAGATCTTCCTGTAAATTAAAATCACACTGGAAACGGTAGCAAAGGCTGTGCATCTTCCCCTCCCCTCGCACACAGCCGCTCAGTACCAGGCAGGTGGAAAAGAACACGGACTTCCATTCATCTGTCCCCCTCTCAGGGTTGGGGGCGTGGGGCGGGTTTCCGCAGGGTTCTACAGGAAGAGACCTCTGTCTCCCGGGGAAGCTTGGCTGGAGTCGGTTCTCGTCTGGGTAGCACCTCTCTGACCCGTTTCTCTTTTCTCCAGTGCAAGCCCTGGCCGAGGCCAACGCCGTGAAGCTGCACAGAGCCACGTTCTGAAGGCCGCCTCTGCCCCCCGAGGTCCTGGTCCCCCACCCCGGCCCCCCGCGCCTGCGCTCCCATGGGAATGCTGCAGGGAGCCAGGCTGGGGGCCGGGGTTGCCGCCGAGAGGATGCCTCAGTGTCCACACGCCCGCCACGCCCGGCCCCGAAGCCCCTCACTACTCAGATGGTGGTCCTCGGCCAGGGCCCGAGAGGGCGGGCAGGGAGCACCCTCCTGTCTGGTGCCCAAGTCACAGGGAGCTAGGCCTGGCCCTGCCCGGGCTGGTGATGGCCTTACTGGAACATTTCCTGATGAAGAGGATGCCCTGGTGGGAGAGACGCCCTGAGCCGTCTTAGGTTAGGACTAGGGGAAGATGGACACGCTGCCTCTTCTGGGCCCTCTTGACACCGAGGACGGCACCTGCCATCATGTCCTTCCCCCATCAGCCCCACCCTACTGCCCCGGCTGTACCCAGGGCTTTGACACATCTCTGCTTATGGGTGCTCCTTGGGGGTCCAGTGGAGACTGACCACCCTGCTTGAGCCAAAGACAAGATGACAAGACGTGGGGAGAGGCTCCTCGGCTCCCGGAGGGGACAGTGCTGGCTGTGGGTAGAGAGCAGCACGCAGGTCTGTGCAGCGTCTGAGGGCAGGTTGAGAAGGGGTAGAAGAGAGAAAGGGAGAGTTGGAGGCGAGTGGGAGGGAGGACAAGGAAGCAGCAGGAATCGTTTGCAAGAAAAAGGACAAGGCAGAGATGCAAAGAGGGGGTACGGGATTGGTTTCCCCAGGATGGAGCCTTAGCTTCGTGCCAAGTACAGTGCCAGACTGTCAGCTCCGCTCCTCCACCGGGTCCCCCAGATCCGCGGGCTGCCCGCACACTGGCTCCCGGAGGACCCACCAGCAAGCACGTGGGGGCCTGAGGCCGTGGGGACGAAGGTGTGGGGATGCTGGTGTGGGTGAGCAGGTTGGAAGATGGCTCTTTCTTAGGTCTGGGCCTAGCGTCTGCCTCCCCCTACTAGGCTCAGGGGCCGAGAGAAGGACCTGTCTTCTGTAGGGTGTAGTCAGCCTTGGGGCCTTTCCTAACCTTGTTCGGGACATTTCCTTGTCCCCCTTCCCCTTGGAATGGGCTGTGGGCCAGCTGAGCGAGTGCCCTGGAGAGGTAGCACAGCCTTAATCTGGGAGGCCAGATTCTAGGACCCCACCCCGCATTCCAGGCGTCCGGATGAGGCTGTATGGAAGGACTCCCTTCCGGCCTGGCTGTCTCACAATCCACCTACCCAGGGAGGCCAGTGGAGGAGACACAGAAGCAAAGTTCATTCTTCCTCCTCTGCGGCTCGTCTTCGAGGACTGTAGCCAGAGAGGAGGGAGGGGAGAGAGTGAAGCTGGAAAAACCTCGGCCCCTGGGCCTTCTCTCTGCCAGAGCTGATGCCCGGAGACTTCCCAAGAACGACTACTTTATCTGCCGCCAAGTCTTCTCCACCCCTTCACGGCTGGGACAGTTACTGGTTCATATGCAAGTAAAGATGGCAGTTGATTCAACAAATATTGATCAAGCACCTTTTATGTACCAGGCACTGTTCTAGGTGCTTAGGATATTCTCGTGCTTCTGCGGGATTGCAGGCTGGGGAATTTCACTTCACTTTTAGCAGAGGTGTTGACCGTGACCTTTGGCTACATTTCCCATCTTTAGCACAGCTCGAGCACCCCAAACCTGGTTTTTTTTCCCTCCCCTACACACTGGTGGGCGGGATTGGCCCTCTCCCCCTTTCCGGCACCTTTCTCCACCCACAAGAAACGGCTCTTTGGGGGCCTCCCATGCCTTCTCCTTTCTTTGTCCGTCTCTCCTTTTTTTAAAGTGGTATCTTTAGAACTACATGTAAAATACCAAGGATTAACGCCTGCCACCTCGCTCTCACCTCCTGTTTCATAAAGCTGGCTCTTTATGTTGCTTTACATGCCTTAATATGTTTTATGAAGATTATACATATTATAGATATATACATAATATATATATTTGTTTGGATGTCTGGTCCTTTCCCAGAACTCCTGCCCAGGCCCGTTTTCTCCCCTTCACTTTCCACGCCATTCCTACCTAGCATGTTGTGGCCACACCCCATGCCTTTTGATCCAAAGAAGGGGAGAGGACAGACTTATTTTAAGACAGATCTATTTTACGCTTTTATTATAAAAGCAAATCTATTTTCAAAATGTGCAATGTCTGAATGGAATTGGCCAATGGTAGGAGGAGACTGGGGCGGCTGCTTCTAGGTCCGACCCTGTGTCCTTCCCTATCCCCCCCCCCCCCCCCCCCCCCCGCCCCGGCAGCTTCCTCGTCCTATTCTCCAGTCTGCAAAGGACCAGTCCCCAGAGCTCACCCAGAGAGCATCTCACCAGGGCATCCAGGCTCTTGGAAGTCCTGGTCTAAGGATTTGATTACAACTGTCAACTCTTGATGACCGTCTAAGGTTACGGGATGTGAATCCTCTCAAAGGAAATGTTTACAGTTGTGTGCACAAAAGCACACCCGTGCGGGCACACACACTCCCCCGATGTGCTCCTGGACCTCCTCCCTTCATCGGTCTGCTGGAAAGGGCAGACAGTTTAATGGCAGCCTATGCTAAACAGCACCAAGAATTCTGTTCCCTGATGGAGCCAGGATGCAGTGCAAAGGCCAAAGGAAAACCGTTTGGGATCACAGGTCCTTCAGCACAGACACATTCAAGTTCCTCGGATTTCTCACACTCCTTGATCCCTTTCCGGTCTGGGTCACATCGACGACCTCTGTCTCCCTCTGTGACCTTTCCTCTGGGGGCTGTTGATAAGGGGACGGTACCTCGGTCTGGCATCCAGACTGCGAAGTCAGCTTCTGGGCTGAAGCGAGTCCCACGGACAAGGTAACATCTCAGCCTTGCCCAGGAAGCCCCCCGGGACTTTCATCTGGAGGGCTGCCGCTGGGGCGCTGAACTCCGCCGGCTCGGCCTTCCACGCTCTTATCCACCCACAAAGTAGGCAAGGGGCTCTTGCCTTGCAAGGTTTCGGGCACAATGGAAGTCTTTTGTCCAGATCCGGAATCAAAGGTTTGGGACTGTCACAGAGCTCCTGGCCAGCATTTGAAGCCTGACCTCCCAACTCTGACATTTACTGACACCCTATTCCCAGCCTGGAGCATCTTGTTATGAATGAACGGGGCCCAGACGGAGGCCCAGGGCTAAGTGACCCACCGGGAGACAGCCCTGGTTACTATTCTAGGGCCTTCCCAATTAGCACATTACCTTCCTGATCAATAACCAAGAGGCTGTAATCAAATACCGCTACTGTCACTTTAAAGATTTTCTGAGGTCGCAAGCTGTGCATACTTGCTCTCCTGCCTTGGGGAGAGGCATGGTCTTGGGGCAGGGCTGAGAATAGCAAGACGGAATCAATTCCTTTCCCCTGTAGGCACCCCCCACCTGGCAGCTCTTAAAACTAAGGAAAATATGAAATATACGTATATATACATATATCTATTTATGCACATACTGGGGCCAATTTGATTTGCTAGCATTAGACAATAAACCATACAAGGAAATGTATGATCTCAGTGTCTTTATTTAGTATAAAAGTGACCTTAGAAGAAAAGTTAAAGTTAGATAAACAGAGGGCATCTCTGTTGGGGACCAAACATCTGTAGCAGCTGCTTTAGCATCTTTCTAGCCAACAAGCCCCTCCCCGGGGAGGGGCCTCCTGACTGAGAGTGAACGTTCGCTTCCCCCCCGCCCCGCAGCATTCTTTCTAGATCTAGTTACTGAAGAATCCCAGTGAGCTCTGCATTTGTATCTTGCAAGTTTGTATAAACCCAATACAGGAAATAAAATGAATGGTTTGTACACGTGCCGTGTGTCTCTCACTCTGTGCCTGCCTGTGGCTGGCCTCGCGGTTCCGGGCAGCTTACAAGCTTGGCAGAAAAGGGGAGAGGGTCTGGGGTGGAGCCTTCCCTGTGGCTAAAAGCAAAGCTGGGTCCGTGGTATGCTGCCACCGCGGTCATCTCTTCTGTCCGGGTAGCCCCGAATCAAGACGTGTCCCAAGCAAGGTCCTGGGTAACGAGCGTTAATTAGATCAGTGTTCAGATCCTGGAGACTTCCCTTGACTCGTCTCCGAGACTGACAGTAGAACTACAGGAGAAGAAAATTCTTAGGTGTTCTCAATTACTGCACAGTGCCCTGTACTTCTGCTTGAGGGGACAACAAGGTCGATGATTTGGGGAGGGGTATCAGAAAAGCCACCCCAAATTATACTCATCCAGCCTCAGTGTTTTGGGTTTATGACCTTTGGCAGGTACTCAGTGAAGGACTCAGCGTGAAGGACTTTATCAGAGCTTCTCAATTTGAAATCTTGGGTCATAGTCAAGAAGCCCTGTGAATTCTATGCGGTGGAGAGTAGAAAGAGAGAGTGAGCCCAGGATAGCGGCAGGCCTCAGCTGGGCCCCTGCAGGATGTCTCGGAAGAGGTGGAGGCATTAATGGTTCAAGGTAGAGAAGAACTTTGAGAAAGAAGAAAGGGGAAGGCAGGCCTCTTTCAATTCCTGATTTTGCTTTAGTCTGGTTCTAAGGGCTGATTTCAAACTCTGGACACCTGTTCTCCTTCCTAAAGAGCTAGCAGAGAGCATGTGTGTGTTTAACAAATAATAGGAGTATATTTGGGGGTTTTGTCACATCCCCAGGAGAGCTAGACGCCTGTGGTCCTTTGTGAATCCGGGAGAACTGGGATTGAAGCAGACTCAAGAGAAAAGCCACTGGAGCTGGAGGAGGTGCCCTGGAGAACTTGCGGCTCTCCAGGGCCTGTGTCTGTCTGCAGTTCCCTGGGGGCCAGAGCCGGAGGCTTGGAGAGGAGGTGGTGGGACAGGAGAGCACAAGACATGGCTGGGTGTTGCTGTCTCCACAAATGGGCTGGTTCCTGTCCAAGAACGATGCCCATGGGGGGAAAAAAAAAGAAAACAAAAGAACGATGCCTATGGATCTCTGCCTGCTCCAACTCCTGGCCCAGATCAGCCCTCTAATCAAGCCAGGCTGGGATTGGAAACGGGGGTGGTAGTCAGGAAACGTAAGTGAAAACGCACCTAGCAGAATGCCCTCCAAAGAGTGCTGCTCTGGAACGTCGTGGTCATGTATTATTCTTGGAGAGAGGCATGATGGGTTCAGGCAGGCAACCAGCCTTCGGATCCTGCCTCTGTGGCCAGGGAACGAGGCCCACTCCACAGCCCCCTCATCCCTGAGCCTCCGCTGCCTCCTGGCCCTGCTCCTGGCCCTGCTCCTGGCCCTGCCGAAGTTTGGACACATCACCAAAGTTCCTGAGCCTCAGTTTCCTGGTCCATGAAATGGGGATATCAACCACCATTTTACGGAGCTCTAGAGAAAGTCAAATGGGAACACGAATGAAAACTCTGAAAACTCAAATTCATCTACAAATGTGAGGAGGCAGTGGTGACGTGGTGTAGGCCCCTGGGGAAGAAAGAGAACGTCTCCCAAAGACGTTCTCCCACGTTCTCCCACTTTGCCACCTCCACTGCCTTCGACAAAGACATCACCAGGGCCCCTGCTGTCCAGCCCTTTGAGATGTCCCTCCCCTCCCCACCTCTATTCCTCCAGCTCCAGCCTTCCAGGGCCCACAACCTCCTCCCGGGGGGGGGGGGGGGGGGCGTGCTCCTAAGAAGGGGCACCTGGGTGGCTCAGTCGGTTAAGCGTCAGACTTCAGCTCAGGTCTTGATTTTGCGGTCTGTGAATTCAAGCTCCGCGTCGGGCTCTGTGCTGATGGCTCAGAGCCTGGAACCTGCTTCCGATTCTGTGTCTCCCTCTCTCTCTGCCCCTCCCCCGCTCACACTCTGCCTCTCTCTCTCAACAATGAATACACGTTAAAAAAAAAATTCTTTTTAAAAGAAGGGGCTCCTCTCTGGGAGTGTGGGCTGTGGACCAGCCCGTCCAGGCCCGACACCTGTACCCAGCGCTGCCATCAGGGAACCAGGCCGGGAGGGCCCAGTTTGAGGACGGTTCCGGTCTTCCAAGCTTACAGGCGAGCTCCATGGTGGCGGGAAGGGGGGGTGGGGTGGAGAATATTCCTAACTGCTATTTTATACACCTGTGCGAGCAGTTAAGCACCACATTTGAGAGAAGTCTTTCAATAACAGCATTTAATAGTATACCAACACTAGTAATATTAATAACAAGAGCAATGATCATAACTATACTGGAAAAGTATGAACAATGGCTCATCAAGTGTTTTCTGTGAACCGGTACCCGGTTCCGTGCACTCCCCACGCACTTACTCACCAGTCCGCGTTCTAACTCTAGGGGACAAGTACAACTCTCACCCAAGACGCTGAGGCACAGAAAGGGTAAATCAAGTGTCCAAGGTCTCACGAGGCTAGGAGGAAGCCCAGGCCCACTCTGACCTCAGAGCGGAAGTTCTTAACCTACCAGTGGTTTCAATGCGGGTGATCGCGCCCCCTAGTGGAAATTTTGGAAATTTGCGGGGAGCTTGTAGTGGCTGCAAGGCACTGGCCAGATCTCCAAAAACAGTTAACTGTCTTCTACCCTGCAGGACTTTAAAACGTACAACCGACCTAAACCCACTTCTAATATAAGTTGGTCATACAGCAATTCATAATAGTACGAAGTATAAGCTTCTAAGTTTTTTTTAAGTCAGTTTCATGAATAACTCGGTAAGTTACGAGATGGTCTTAATGGAGAAGAAACGTAAATGGAATAAAGACATGGTTTAAAAATTGAGTTAAACTACCGCATACATTGTCCCCACAATGCAGTGGAACATTCAAGTACTGTTTCCGTGGTTGAAGATGGTTCCAAGTGGGGTCTTACTGAGCAAGCACAGACCGACTGCAAACATCTAACGGAGGAGATCTGAGAGAACCAACCATTACAGCAAAGATACCTGAAATGCAGGAGATCTCATTAGATCGCCTTAATGAATGTTTTTAGAGATTATTTCATAGGATTGTCATTCTTTAGATTTTTTAAGTTTTTGCAGCCCCAGCACGGACACCTAAGTTGTACAGATTCCGTGTGGTAATGTTTGGGGATGCTGTCTGTTTTTTCTCTAGCTTTCCCCGCCCCTGTCCCGGGGGCCCACATGCAATTGTCCTCAGGCACTTGTATCCCCAAGTCCCTTTCCAATCTAGCCTCCATTCCCCACTGCCTGTTGGAAACACATGACCTCCAAGGCCCAAATTCTAGACTGAATTCTCCCTCAACCTGCGACAGCATTTCAAGACAGAGCTCTGTGTGTCTGTGACATGCCCGCGCTTACTCCTTTCCCGCCAGAGCACCGGGGAGCTATTTTAACAATACACACAGAAGACCCAGTTCATTTGCATTCACATCGCGCCTCCTCATTGTCTCCACTCTGCCTTGCTATGTTATCCCTCTTTCAATTAAGGCTATTACCCTCTTTCTCTTTTTATATGTAAGTACACTCCGTTTGTTGTAATTTACCTAACGGGTTTTATTCTTTTGTTCATTTCCTACTACTCTCTCATTTTCTTGTGGGTGGGGAAGGTGTTTTCGTTTTTATTTTGTTTTGTATATAATGACTCTCTGGTCTTCTACTTCTCTTAAATGTAAGTGTATTTCTTATAAGTAGGTGCAAGCAATCTGCCTGTTTCACTTATGGCTTCATTAAATCTTGCCTGAACATTAATATATTGAGAGACATCGTGCTTTATTATGATTTTTCCCTTCTTTATATAGTTTTGTGTTTTTAAAACTGATGTGTGTAGATTGCTCATATCATCTATGAACTTCATTTCAGGATAGAGGGGACATTACAAAGGGGATGCTGACTCGTGGGTTGAGAGCCACGGCTCTACGGTGGCAGAAAGGATGTTAAGAACTATCTGCCCCTCTTTTTACAGGCCCACAGAGGGAGGGAAGGATGACCCATGTCTACACAGCTGGTGGGTGGACTTTCAGAACTAGGCTTCTGAAATCGTCCAGCCTTACCCCAAGCCCAAATTCATCTTTCATCCTCCCTGGCTCAACCTCACTGTCCGACGCTGGACACCGCTGGGGAAAAGGAGGTCGAAGCCTTTTGTGTCTAACTCCTCTGGGGCGCTTTTGCCCTTGCTGTAACCCAACCCGGCTCTCCCAGAGACTGCCGGCAACAGGTTTTACCCAGTGGCTTGCCGCCCCCTAGCGTCTAGCATGGGTACTAGCGCCAAGCAAGCGGACTCCACAGGCACGAAGAATTGAATACTTTTCCGAGGAGAAACGCGGATTCCAACTCTTGCCACACCCCCACCAAGCCAGGCAAGGAACCCGGGGAGCCCGAGATCCCAGTCCACTCTACAGTCTGAGTTCTGCGAAGGACTTGGAAGCAGTTACACTCAGCCTCAGGGCGCGGGAGTGGGGGGCGTTGGCGGGGTCAGGTGGGTGTTGCCTTCGCCAGGTGGGCGGAGCGTGTGCCCAGGGCTAGTGTCCTCTGGGAAGATCCAGGAGAAGGGAGCCTGCGACTTTAAGCAGCCGTTTGGGTGGGGAGGGGGGGAGAGGTGGGGTTTGGAGAGCGGAGGGAGTTAATGATTTACCAGAGGCCCGTTTCACAATTTCCCAAGGGTCAGCTTGCCTGGAGCACGCACAAGCGCGGTCCTCCCTGCTCCTCTCCCCTTGGCAGCTTCGACCCGGAAGGCCCCCCAGGCAGCCTGCGGCATGATCTCCATCACCGAATGGCAGAGTGAGTGGGGGGGGCCGGTGCCGTGGAGGGGGCTGGGCTGGAAGGGAGGATCCAGCCTGGGGCGGAGGGAGAC